CCCCTTGTCCTCTGGACTCGTTTGACGAGAAGAGCGCGTGTGTACTGACTACATAGTTGCCTCGTGTAGTCGCGAATGTGATTCACGCGTGCGGCACGTTCTGGTACCACTCTTGCCGATGCAGGGAGGGCAAGCACTACGATGAGTTCGCCATGTTCTCCATCTCTGCGTTCCCCTTCTTCTACAACTTCCTCAGAATCGCCATCGTGCGTCCCCACCCTTCTTCTGTTTCAATGCGAGCCGATCACGGCCTCCGCAAGCGCCTGTGGTGGTGATGACTCACTCGATCACCACCCTGATGTTGCTATTGCAGGCGCGTCAGGCCACTGCGGCTTCCAAGGACCAAACGGCCTCGCCTCACAGCGCCTACCTGATGTCGTCCGAGCAGCAGTCGGAACAGAAAAAGGTGTACCAGAAGGTCATGGCGATGTTCCTGGGCTATGCGGCCTTCGCCTTCTTCTGCTACAACCTCTTCGACTTCAGCATCTACAACGACATCCTGCGCGACTTCGTGATGGGCGGCATCCTCGGGCTCGATGTCCTGACCTTCATCTACTACATCTACCACCACGTCCAGAACCAGCGCCAGTGGAACCGGGACAAGAAGCTCCTCATCGCCGGTACGTGCACTCATCACCGATTGATGAAGTGAACTGAGTCATCCGCCAACTGAGATCTCCGCTCTTCGCAGCCATCATCCTGTTCGTGATCGGATACGCGGCCCACACGCTCGACAGGCATAGCATCCTTTGCTCGCCCACCTCGGTCTTCCAGGGTACGTGCAAGGCCCAGCCTGTTGTCCTGTTTGCCTGGTCTGGAGCACGATGAATGCTCACCACGCAATGCATTGCTCCTCTAGGCCATGCGATCTGGCACGTGTTCTGTGCCTTTGCGCTGTGCGTGCTCTACACCATGTTCAGGCACGAGCACTTCCACGTCCTCTCCGACACCTGGGCCGAGAGCAGCCCCGTCTTCTGTTGATGATCGCGTGCTCATTCCCTTGAGTCCGCCTCTCACATTTTCATCTTTGTAATAAATCTTCATTTATTCCCTCTCCTCTATTCTTTGAAGGGTGTGCTTATGTCGAAGTACGTGCCCTGCACACTGGCTGTGCTGCACCTCCTTGAGTGGTCGGTCGGGCTTCAACTAGCAGTGAGCCAGCTGGACCGGTAGGGCGACCAAAAGGAGAAAACAGCAACAACAAAGGGAAATTTCGACCCACCAGCCCCGAAGCAGTTCGACCCGCTGTCGTGCTACGTTCGTGCCTCCATCAATTTCCAACGTTCCCGTTTCTTCTTATGCAGCGACGCTGAGGCCGTGTTCTACTCCTCTCTTTCCCACCACGATCTCCACCTCCACCATCTTGTACATAAGTCTCGCGCCATTTCGGAAATCGACATTTGCGAGAGGGGGCTTTCTTTGCATTTGCAACGACGATGCTGGCAACCGTCGTGGCCACCTTCTTGCTGCTGTTGGCGCTCAACGCGGCCTCAGGCGCAGCCGACTACCAGAGATTTACCGTACGAGTAGTGTGGCCCGGTGGCACCAACTGCTCCGCCCCCTTGAGCGCTGCCTGCAATGATACTGGTGCTGCTGCCCTCGCCCCTTCTTCTCCTCCTGGCAGAGTTGCTGTGACATGCCGGTAGAATAGATGAGCTCATCTGTGTCACACGGCTGCGAACTCAGGGTTGACGTCGTGGCCAGAAGGTTGGGCGGCCTCGGACCCGAGCCAGGGAGGCGGTGACTGGAGCGGCGGCTCCAAGTCTTTCTCCAACCCAGTACGCTTCTTCTTCTCCTTCTGTGCGTTCGTGTCTCCGCGTCTTCGCTAACAGTTGGTGCGTGCCCACAGCTTCCGGCCAACATGCGAATCGGCTGGGTGGAGGTCGATCTCTATGGTCGCTTTGAATGCTCGCCAAGTTCGTTTTCCATCTTCTGCTGGCTTGCGATGAAGCTTCCTAACCTACCTAACCTCGCCATGGCAGATGAAACACACACGGCGTTCGATGTGCAGGTGCAAAAAGAGGCGATTGCCTCCCTTGAGTTCCAAGCCAATGCGAGCAAGTGTCAGGGGTGCCGGAACTGCGGATATCTGCATAAGGCCACCTCTCGACATTATGGGGTAGGCACACATGCTTACAATCACCTCTCTTTCTCGCTTCGTTCAGCGAACACACTGGCTGACACTGTTGAGGTGGTGCCCAGACTGCTGGTCTGCCGGATTACGATTACGGCCCCCAGGCACCCAACATCCTCTCGCTTCAGCTGCACTCTGGCCTGCTCGTGCTCAACGCGGCAGACATCCACATCTATGCCAAGGACTCGACCGGAGGCTCGAATATTGACATGAGCCGGTGGGAGTTCATCGCTATTCTAGTACGTGCCTCGCCACTTTGCGCGCATGATCTCATCATGAGGCTTGACCTAACTTACGTGTGTGTACTCACTACTAGATATCTGCGTTAATCGGCGTTGTCATTCTGGTGTCGACCATCTGCTTCGGCATCATTCTATTCCTCAAGTCGCGCGGAAGGCTTCGGCGGAGTCGATACACCGAGATCCCCGGTAAAGCGGCGCGTGGGAGCAAGGGCGAAGGGACAAGCGGACGAGACAGCACCTACGACGACGACGATGACGGTGATTGCGAGTCCAAGCCACCGACCCGTGACACGATCAACAACCTTACCGGGTCGGACGAGCTGCTGGTAACCACGGAGAACACTGCCTTGCTATCTAACACGCCTACGGGCAACCTGGGCAATCCGGCCAAAGCCAAGGAAGTCCTCGGCGCCGAGCGTGGCCACCACCACGGACGGCCACGCAAGCGGAGCGCCGCTGGACAGAACTGGAAGAAGCAGATCCAAGTAACTGAAATCAAGATTCTCGGTCGTATCGGCCGAGGCAGCTATGGTGATGTCTTCAAGGGTACGGCCCCACTCATCTACCATAGTAGCGGTCCCCTACGTAGTAGGAGAAGTAGTCTCATATACCACTTCGTGCAGGAGTGTGGCAGGGGACGGTGGTAGCGGTAAAGAAGCTTCCTGGCTACTTCATCGAGCTCAGAGAAGAGGAATCCGCTGCGTTCCTAGACAACTTCCAGAAGGAGGCCTCCATTATGAAGTACACCCCTCTTCTACTGTGCGGCTGGTCTTTGTTGTACATGTACTGATCACGCCCTTCTTCTTTGCCATCTTTAGATCGTTGCATCACCCCAACATTTTACAACTTCTGTCAACGTACATGGAGCCTCCCGATTTGTGTCTCGTTATGGAGTACATGCCCAAGGGGTCCCTCTACAAGATACTGCACGACCAGTAGGTTCTCCCTCTTGAAGACAACGATCGTTGGGCTTGCCCTTACAGTCGCGCCTCTCTCGCATTTCTCTTCCACACAGGACAGTGCAATTGGACTGGCCCATCGTCCGTAAGATCTTGCTCGATGCTGCGAAGGGCATGGCCTACCTTCACGGCTGCGAGCCTGTTGTGATCCATCGGGTACTTCTGTTCTTGTCTCCCATCACCTTGATCACCACTTCGCTCTAGCAGGCCGACTGACGGAGTGACGGTGTGTCTTGTGTGTGCGGGCGGGGTGGCGGATGTGCGTTCGAACGCCAGGATCTCAAATCGCACAACCTGCTGATCGACAATAACTGGACATGCAAGGTGTGCGACTTTGGCTTGTCTAAGATATTGACCGATCGACCCACAACCTCGCAGATGACCTCCTGCGGCACTCCCTCATGGTTCCCACCCGCTCCCCCCCTCTCAATTGATAATTGGCTATCTCTCCCTCTTTGGACTGGTGCTGATGGCCTGGAGCTGGGGCAGGACCGCGCCGGAAGTGCTCCGAAACGACCGCTACACCGAGAAGGCTGACGTCTTCGGCTTTGGCGTAGTTGTCTGGGAGTGTGTCACGCGTCAGGACCCTCACCCCGGCATGCCCCCGTTTCAGGTTAGGCCTCGTCATCATCGATCTTTTTGTTCGTTTTCGCCCTAGGCCATGCATGTGCTCACGCCTTCGTCGCTCTTTGTGGTTCAGGTGGTGCTCGAAGTGGGTTCGAAGCATCTTCGACCCGAGATCCCGAGCACTGCGCCAACGCCGCTGCAGGACCTCATGCGGAGCTGTTGGTCGGAGGACCCCGCCCAGCGCCCGTCGTTTCAGGAGATCGTGCGCCTCCTGATATCGATGAAGGTGCACGCGCTCTATCCTCCGGCTGCAGCCGGCGACGGCGTGGAGGCCGACATCGTACGGGAGGGCAGTGAAGACGAACAACACCACCATCAACGTTCCGTTACCGACGACGGGACTGGAGAAGATGAGGGGCCTGTTCGTCCAGTCATGCTGTACAGCCCGAGCGCCGAACTGCGCGCACCGCACGAGGAGGCGATCTCGTCTTCGTCGTGATGGTTGCCCGGCACCCGTTGTCGACGGTAACGACAAAGAATTCAAATTGTATGGCTGTTTGTTTCGAACAGAAGAAGAAAAGAGTTCGTGATGGCGGAGGAGAGGCTGCTGCGTATCAAGCTCGTGCGAGCGACTGACCTCGTCCCTGCCGACTCCAACGGTTGCGCGTCACCTGCCTCATTTTATTAAAAATCATCCTTATAATAAATTTATAAATCATAATAATAAAGGATGATCAATAATATAATTTATTCTATTTATTTAAATGCAGGTTTGTCGGACCCCTATGTGGTGCTCACCCTCAACGGCACCTCCGTGCGCAGCAAGACCATCCCCAAGACCCTCAACCCTGGTACCTACCCACCGCTCTACCCCGACTACCGACCCTGCCCTGCCCCGTTGGCTCGCGTCCACGATGGACCTGACCTGACGTGATCGCGCGGGGGCCATGTGCGCGCAGTGTGGGAGGAGCTGTTCTCGCTGCCGGTGAAAGATCTGGACGCGGACGTGCTGCACGTGCAGGTGATGGACTGGGACAGGGTCAGCAAGGACGACCCGATCGGCGATGCCTCCGTCGCCCTGACCCACCTCGTCCAGGGTACGATGATGGACACCACCGTCCAGCGCCGCTGGTCGCCGTGAGATTGGCTCACACTCGCCTCCATGTGTACTCCCACGCACGCACGCACGCGTAGAAGTGGAGTCAGATGTGTGGGCGCCGCTGACTAATGTCGCATCGGGCCGCGTCCACCTCACCCTCATGCCCATCAACTGGTACCACGCACTTCTCACAACGGAATGCTAATAATGAGCTTCAACCTCATTCCTTCGTTTTGCTATTTCTCTAGCGGGCGGCAACCCGACGAGGGCAAAGCGAAGGAGGTCAGCGGAGGTAGGCCCCACCACAGTGAAAGTACAATTGGGAGCGTGGTGGGCCAATGCCATAGCTGACGCTTTGCTATGTCGTGGCGCCAGACGTTTCGCCGCCGCAGAGCAAGAAGGAGAGGAAGCTCGCCAAGAAGGCGAAGAGGAAGCTACTGCTCACAAAGAGGGAGGAGCCATCGCGTAACATCATCGACATCGTGGGTGCGTGTTCCCCGTCATTGGCTCACCAACGTCCTTAGAAGGACCTCTTCTTGTGTGGTCATCGTTGCCTTGGCGTTGGCCCAATCGTCCTCCTTTTCCTTCTCGTCATGAGCTCAGTGCTCGAAGGTCTCGGCCTGGCGCGACCTGGCAAAAGCGCGATCGACCCGTACTGCGTCGTGCGAGTCGGAAGCGCGGTCTACGTCACTTCAGTCAAGCGTGGAGCGGCCAGCTGTACGTTCCGCTCCCCAGCCACGCACGCACGCACGCACGCACACCACACACCACACACACCACACACCACACACACCACACACGCCACACACACCACACACATACCGCACACACACACACACACAGCCAACACGTTCCACTGGTGTCGGGCGGCGATGGCATAGGTATCTGGAACGAGGACTGCAGCTTTGAGCTGACGGGCGACGATGCCAGCGATGTGCATATCACCGTGATCAACGAGAAAGGGAGCCACCAGCCCCATACACTGGTAGCGCCCATAAGACATCGCCCAGGTGGCCCTGGTCAGGTTTGACGATGTGACTGTGTGCCCAGGGCGGGTTGAGGGTGCCGCTGGCGAGCGTCCGAGACGAGAACGGAGGCGAGGCCCGCCTCTACCCGCTAGAACTGAAGGAGACTGCGGCCACGGGCTACCTCCGGCTGCAGCTGCAGCTCAACTCAGTCTCCGTACCCGCTCCCCCCTCCTCGACCTCGCTCCTCGTATGTGGCGCTGCTTTCTTCGCGTGTGAGTGCGTCGTGACATGGATGGTGGCCAACAGACCGGCATTCTGGCCCACTTCGGTGCGCCGCTGTGCGCGAGCATGCCCATGCGCGTGAATGTCGGCGATCTCCTGCTGTTCAGGTCTGGTGCACTCCGCCCTCGTCTCCCAGCGACCTCTGTCATCTATCGTTCTAACCTGTCCCTAACCGCCACACTTTACACACCGGCGCCGGCGTAGTTGCACGCACGTGGGCGCTGTGGTGACGAAAGTGGGTACGGGCAGCACCTGGGACCACGTCGCCATGGTGGTCAAGCCGCAGTACGATGATGGCGATGCTGATCAGTATCTCGGCGTACGACGTCACCTTCTTCCTTCTACCACTCTTGCGACCCCTAAGCAACGTGTACGTTACAACAAACTGCTCTCAGGTGTTCGAATCGTGCCCGTCGGGCGTGCGGGTGGCCCGCTACTTGGACTCCTACTGCAACGCCTACTTTGACGCGGGCGCCAAGATCGCCTTGCGGCGTCTGACGTACGTCGACCGACCGCCTGCTCTGCTGTGTCTCAATCAGCGAGACTGACTCACTAGACGCGGAACCGACACAGGGCCGAGCGACACGACCTGTCGCTCGAGGCGTTGACGGCGTTCGTGAAGCAGATGGACGGCAAGCCCTACGAAAAGAACCTCATGGAGATGGTGCGGGGCACCATGTCCCTCAACAGCGGCGAGGACCTCTCCGGCGTCTTCTGCTCCGAACTCGTCGCCGCCGCCTACCAACGGTACCCTTGCCGCACCGCACCGCACCGCACCGCACCGCACCGCACCGCACCGCACCGCAACGCAACGCAACGCAACGGGCGCATGCGTGGTGATGAGGCAACTGCGATTGACGACGCGCATGACAGGATGGGTCTGCTGGAGGCTACGGTGTCGTCGAACAACTTCATGCCGGGCCACTTCGGGAAGCCGCAGATGCCGCTCCAGCGAGGCGCCTCGCTCGGTCCGTTGGTCTTTTTCAAGCCCAAGCGCATCAAACCGGCCGCTCTTGCCGCCGCCAAGCTTGCCTCGCCTTCTTCATCTTCTTGAACTCAGCCCAACGAGGAAGAATATGATACGTTTTTTGTTGTTGGCGTTATTGACATCATACATTCCTGAGGGGAAGAAAGGGGTGGGTTGGTCTAACGCTTCTGGTGGACGACGAACTTGAGCAGCAGGGCGCACGCGACGATGAGCGCGATCCACCAGCCCAGCATGACCAGCGAGTCGCGCAGCAGGTTGTCGGCCGACATGCCCAGGCTCTCGAGGAAGGCCTCGCCCGTCGTGATCGGACAGAACTCCTTGAACGCGCCCGGCACCGATGCGATCGGCACCCGCACCAGCTCGCTCGCGGAACACTTGATCGTCATCCCCGTCTGCTCAGCAGAAAGCGAAAGCGAAAGCGAAAGTGTGAGACATCCAAGTATCAAGTGACACTGAATGGAGATAGACAGGGAGGCGAAAGACGTACGACTTCGTTGATGAGGAGTGCTTCGATGCCATACATGTCGAGATCGATGTAGTGGGCCCAGATCCACCAGCCGGGAATGTTGTCGCGCGTGATGAGGAAGCCCGCAAAGTTGGAGAACAGCGTGAACACCAGCGCCGACAGCGCGTTAGCCAGCGTGATGTTGGGCGACGCCAGGCAGATGGCGTAGACGATGGCGATCGAGAGGAGGTTGGCGAGGAGGTAGATGGCGAAGAAGATCCAGAAGCGACCGGCGTCGTACTGCAGCCCCGCGATGAAGTACACCGGGACCCTGTGGACATCAACAACAAAGGGTGAGAGACAGTCTTCTAGAGGGGGCCGGTTCAATGATGGAATGGCTGGCGAGCGTACACAAAGGCCACGGTGTTAAAGAGCACGAAGGGGATCTCGACCAGAACGAGGCCGGCCAGATAGACCAGCGACGTGTAGGTCCGCGATGCCCGCTCACGATACATGAACGGACGCTCTTGGATCACCTTGGCCTTCAGCTCTGCACATTCATAAGACGAGAGTGGTGAGTTAAGGCCATAGAAAAGAACGAAGCGACAGTGTAAAAAGAACGAGGAGGGAGGGAGGGGGGGGGCGTACGAATGCCGAGCAAATTGGAGACCAACATCGAGAAGTAGAGCAGACCGCCGCGCTGGAAGGCGCCTTGCTGCGTGTCGTTGAGCTGCAGGAAGTAGGTCCCGATGATGACGCCCAGCACCAGCGGCACGGCCACCTTCTGGAGGAACTCCTCGGGGCTGCGCCAGTAGGCCAGGAAGCTGCGCTTCATGGTCTGCGTGAACTGCTGGAGGTAGGTGCTCGCGTAGCGGTTCGTGAGCCGCTCCTTGATCTTGCGCCACCGGCTCTTCTCCTCGTCGTCCACCTTCTCCACTGCCGGGAAGATGCCGGCCGCCAGCTTCTGCTCGGTGTCGGCGTAGAACTGGGAGTGCTTGTAGGCCTCGACGTAGAAGTTCTCGTCCTTGTGGCCCATCTCCACGTCCTTCTCTGCGTGCTCTGCGGCGTCCGGGTCGGGCTTGGCGTCGTCGGTCTTGGGAATGCCGGCGCCGGTCACCTCGAGAATGAACTCGGCCGGATTCTGGTGCGGCTTCATGGTGTGGCCCATGGCCGAGAAGTAGTCCAGCAGCACCGAGTAGTCGCCCTCGCTCTTCCCGATCGGGCCGAAGTAGGTCGTGAAGCCGCCCTTCTTGAGCAGCAGCAGATGCGTGAACATGCCAAAGATCGTCGCCGAAGGCTGATGGATCGTGCACACCACCGACGTCCCGCGGCCGGCGATGTTGCGAACGGCAGTCATGACGCGCTCAGCGCCGAAGGAGTCGAGACCGGAGGTGGGCTCGTCGAGGAAGAGAATGGCCGGGTCGGCGGCCATCTCGACGCCGATGGTGACGCGCTTGCGCTGGTCGGCCGAGATGCCGTCGGCGGCGTTGACCCCGATCACCCGGTTGGCGATGCTCTCCAGGCCCAGGATCTTGAGCAGGCTGCGCGCGTACTTCTTCTTCTCCTCCACTGGAATCGCCGCTGGCAGCCGACACTGCGCGTTGGACCATATGTCAGTGAGGAGAGCGGCGGCGGGGCGGGGGCGATGGGGGGCAGAGGGTTTGTGGGTGGGGTCGGGGGGGGGAGTGTACGAGGGCAGAGAGCTCGATGGCCTCGTAAATGGTCTGCGTGGGCGCGTGGATGTCCTGCTGCTCGACGTATCCGATGATGCGCGACAGGTTGGCGTCGGTCTTGCGCCCGTTGACCAGCACCTCGCCCGTGATCTTGCCGCCCGTCTTGCGCCGCGCCAGCACGTCCATCAGCGTCGACTTGCCCGCGCCCGACGACCCCTGCATTTACAATGTATTACATCACCGGCAGCATGGTGAGCTCTTCTGACACAAGCGACAACAACAAGGGGGAAGGGGGGTACCATGAGAGCGAGCATCATGCCGGGCTTGACGAAGCCCGACACGTCGTGCAGCAGCTTCAGCTCCTTCTTCTTCACAATCCCGTCGCGCGCGAACACCGAGTAATTCAGGTGGTGCCACGACAGGTACGCTCCTCCTTCCACGAACTCTCCGCCCATCTTCTCCACCTCCATTCCCTCCTTGACCGGCGCCTCTTCGATGTCTGTTGTTTGCATTACGCTCGGCGTTTTAGCTCCAGCGAAGTAGGCGCTTGAGCTGTGATGAAATGGTGGATGGAGTGTGGTGGCGTACCAGCAAAGCTGTCCATCTTCTTCAGCTCGCCGGCCTTCTTGGACTCGTCGTCGCTGTGGGCGTGGCCATGGGCGTGCTTGTGGGTGTGGTTGAGGTGGTGGGCCTTGACGGCCTTGATGTTGAACTGCTTCATCTCGCGCTCCTGCTCCTCGCTCACCTCGACGCTCTTCATGCGCGGCTTCTTCGGCGGCGAGTGCCGCACGAACCGCATGCCCGCGTAGGTCGCCAGCGTGAAGATCACCCACCACCCGATCACGCACACGGCCATGATCCACTTGAGCCACTCGCGGTCGAAGATGCCGTAGCTGTTCACGATGTAGTCCGTCCCGCTCGTCACCGGGCACGCCTGGCTGCCCGCGAAGCCCTGCGGGTAGGGCAGGTTGAAGTTCGCCTCCGACGTGGGCGGCACGAGCTCGGAGTCCTCGCAGGAGTACTCGCGGCCCCAGAACTCGTTGGAGGCCAGGCCCTGGAAGGCGTACGACACCGGATTGGCCCAGTACATCCAGATCCACCAACCGTAGATGTGGATCTGTGTGTTGGACGCCATTCATTGGTGCGAGTAAAAAAGCAGTGAGTGATGTTCGCACGAGCGAGGTGAGAGAAAAGAGAGAGGAGAGAGGACGTACGCGCGGGACAAGATAGCCGCCGAACATGAGAAGCATGGCGATGAACGTGGGTGCGAAGCTCTGGGCGTAGAGCAGCGAGGGCGACCACACCGACACCATGCGCGTGAATGAACGCATCGTCTGCACAAAGGCACGATCGATGAGTAAAGCAGGCTTCGCAGTGGAGAGATGAGTGGCGGCTTGACAGAGAGTTCTCGTACCCAGTAGAACAGGAAGCACATGTAGACGAAGTAGCCGAAGCGGGCGCCATCGTCGCCCGCGTTGAGGTTGGCCAGCCAGTAAAGAATGCTCGAGAAGGCGCCCACTTCGACCATCATCGTCGGAATCTTCACTCATCCACCGCGCCAACCCGCCACCAACACGTCAGCGTCGACACGACAATGAGCAAAAGAAACAGAGAGAAAGCGAGTACCTCGGCGACGATGGTGGAGAAGAGATAGGGCGACGTGCGATAGTACTTCTGGTCGCGCTGCATGTAAAACACCGGCCGCTCGAAGATGGTGAGCGGCAGCGCCGTGAGCGAGCCGAAGGCCCAGTAGGCCAGCACGGCAAAGGTGAGGCCCACGCGCGAGTTGATGTCCGACTGGTGGTAGCCCAGCCGCAGGAACAGCGTGCCCAGGATGCACGCCAGCAGGCAGGTGTTGAAGATCCGCATGAGGTTGGTGGTCTTGTCGCGCCACTCGCGGGTCAGCGCGCGCTTGGTCAGCAGCCAGTATTGCCTGTAGTGGTGGTCGCCAATTGTGAGGAAAGGCAGACAGTCATGACGGGGAGGGAGAGAGGGGTCATACGTAGGTATGGAGGTGGGGTATTTGGCATCGCGGGCGTAGTCCACCAGCTCGATCTTGGCCGCGTGGTCGTCTGTGTGCTCACTGTGGTCGGGGTGAGGAGCGAGGTCCTTGTTGGTGTCGTTGATGGTGTCGATGACGTGTGCGTAGTGCTCCGACGCCTTGTACGCTGCCACAAAGTCCTTCGGCTCCAGCCAATCGAAATCTTCGTCAGCCATCGCCGCCGCATTGTCGCCGCCATCGTCGTCTTCATCGCCATGGGCCTGGGCCTCATCCACCGCTCGGTACTTGCTCGGGTTGGCGCTCAGCGTCGACTCAACCACCTCCTCTGCATCAGACGCTTGGGTGAGCACAGAGGCCTTCAAATGCTGAAGTGTTGGGAGAAGGGGGGGGAGGGTGGGTACGGAGGAACTCGGCGGGATTGAGCGTGGAGCGACACTTGTAGCCCAGCCGCTCGAAGTAGGGCAGTGCGTCGGTGCGCTTGCCCAGGAAGGCGATCTCGCCGCGCGTGAGGATCATCACCTTGTCGAACAGGTGGAAGGTCTCGTAGCTGGGCTGCAGCAGCGACACGAGGCCCGTGCCGCCCATGTTGACGATGGTGCGCAGCGCGCGCATGACGTCGAACGACGCCGACGAGTCCAGGCCCGTCGTGGGCTCGTCGAACAGCCACACGCCGGGCGACTTGGTCCACTCGATGCCCACCGTCACGCGCTTCTTCTCCCCACCCGACACGCCGCGCAGCAGCGCGTCGCCCACGATCGTGTCGGCCCGATGCGTGAGGCCCAGCAGCTGGAGGATGGCCTCCACGCGCTCGGCCTTGACCTTGGCCGCCACGCCCGCCGGCATCTGGCAGTCGGCGCTGAAGCGCAGCGTCTCCTTGACGGTGAGCGTGGCCAGGTGCACGTCCTCCTGCTGGATGAAGGCCACGTCGCGGTGGTAGTGCTTGCGCTTGGGCACCTTGCCGTTGAAGGTCAGGCTCCCGTGCACCTTGCCCGCCCGCAGTCGGTTGGCCAGCAGCTTCAGCAGCGAGCTCTTCCCGCACCCTGCGGCACACACCAGCGAACCACAGAAGCGTTGCTGGTCAGTTTGGAATTCCATTCAAAGTCAAGAGAGTTGCGCGTACCGGGCGCGCCGAGGATCAGGGTCATCTCGCCGGGGCGGGCGTAGAAGCTGAGGTCGTTGAGAATGGCCACCGGCTGCGGCCGCTTGGCCGGCACGAGTCGGTTGATCTGGTTGGCGAACAGGGCCCACACGTCGCGGTGGTGATTGGTGGGCGGCGGCGCGTGCACGCCGAGCGTGAGGTGGCTCACGGCGGCGAAGATGGGCTGGAAGTTGGGGTTGATGAGCTTGCGCGTCTGCTTGATGTAGTCGCTGAACAGCACCGTGCCCTTGTCCTTCAGCTGCAGCCTTGGCTCCTCGCTCATCTGCCCTCCCAAGGTGCCATGTCAGCTTTTGTTCGCCTGTGGCAACCGTTAGCCAAGAGTGGAGAAGCGGAGAGGCGTACCGCAGAGGAATCAGAGAGGTCAGCATGATCGAAGGTCGAGGAAACGCTTTCTTCGCCTTCTTCTTGATCGTTGAGAGCAATGTTGTGCAGGTCCATCGTGTCTGCTTCCATGGGGTGTGCACGCAAAGGTTGTTTGTTGTTGTTCTTGGAGAGTGAGTATGCAAGAAGGGGCCACCTCGCCTGCTTTATTGGGTTGTTAGCTCCAGTTTTCGGAACAAACTAATCGTCCCATTGGCGGGTGCGTTTGTTTTAACTTGTTGCGCAGCAATCACAACAAAGTGCGAAACGCCAATCACGGGCCATCGGAAGTCAGGGGTAGGTCGTACCCACCAGTCGGCACTTTGGCAAGAAGCGCGACGTGCTATTCTCACATCTTGTCATCACGCCGAAAGACACCGGACGGCCGCCCGCACCCGAGTCGCGGGACTCCCTTCGAGCCTGTGTTTCCGAGAAAGAAAGAGAAAATCACAAAAAAAACACTTTCCGCGCCTTTGGCCCCTTTCTGCAAATATTCTGGAAACGCAAATTGAGTTTAGAATTGCTCTTCACTTCACCCCCAGCGACGCTGCCTTCTGCTGGGCCGCTTCTCTCGTGCCAGTGGCCTGGAGCAATGAGTACAGAAACCGCTGTGGGCGACGAGATGGGCGGCAACGATTTCGATTTTGCAGGGGAAGGGGGAATGCACACAACCTGCTCGGAGGACGAAGAAGAGCTGAAGTTTCTTACGCCAGCGTTCGCCAATTGGGCGGATCAGGTGGAGTACGAGGAGGCCCAGCTGCTTGCCGAGACCGGCGAGCGGCTCACGCTGACCTGGGAAGAGATAGCGTCCGAGCTCGAGAGCTGCGATCAGCATCTTCAGCTCAATTCGACTGCCTACTACTCGCTCCCCCGCTTCGAATCGATAAGGAATGGAAGAGGAGCGTCTTACTCGCGAAGCCCCACACCAAAGGTGCTGGCAAGCGCCTACCGAGGAGACGAGGATGATGAATTGGGCGAGTACGTGGCCATGATCAAGGCGGCCAAGGCCAGGCGCGACCGACCCCAGCGCGGGCTGCCACCGCCCCGCACCGCCAAGCGAGGAGAAGCCGCCAAGTCCTCCTCCTTCGCCATCGACGAAGCCTTCCACGCCGCTGCGGTACGCTCTGCCACGCAGGCCGTTCGCAGGGCTGCACAGAAGGGCGGCGGCGCGACGCAGCCCCCACGGGGCACGAAGCGCAAGAGCCGCAGCAGAAGCCTCGACACCGAGAACGATCGGGCAGCGGACGACAAGAAGACGAAGAAGGCGGCCGCGAAGAACTCGCAGCATCAACTGCAGAAGCAGATGAAGGAGGTGAAGAAGAGGGAGAAGGCGGCGAGCGAGGCCGGGCGGAAGCTGTTCGTGGGCGGCATCGTCTTCGCCGACCTGGAGGACGACACCGAGGCGCGCGAGGTGCGGTGCCCGGAGGAGGCGGCCCTGCTGGCCGAGGTCAGGCGCGAGGTCTTTGTCGACGTGGTCCTGGGCGCCTTCGGCGAGATCGACAGCATCAAGGCGGAGTGGGACGAACGCTACTGCCACGTCGTCTACGGCTCGCGCGATGCGGCCGAGCGCGCCTTCGCCGGGCTGAGCGACCACCAGGAGCGCCGGCGGCTGTGCCAGGTCGAAGCGGCTGCGCTCCTGCGCGAGGAGGGCCTGCCCGAGGCCGCCGCGCCGCTGCCCAACTTCTACGTGCGCTGGCCCAAGGACGACCCCATTCGATGCCCCGCGACGCCCGGCCACCGACGAGATCGGGAATCGGTCGCAACGACATGCAGTCGACGTCGGAGCGCAGAGAAGATGAGCGGCGGAGGAGAAAGAGCACAAGAGCAACAGCACAGCACGGAAGACGAGGGGGAGCGACTGCCAGAAGAAGAAAAGAACGAAAGCGAAGAGGAGTCGTCCCGAGCAGCTACGGACAACGGAGCAAGAGAAGGGAGAGAGCGGCGTGTAGATACGAAGGAGCAAGAAAGAGAGGCGGAAGAAGAGGAGCGACACAACAGCAAGGCATCGACGGCGACCGTCAACGCGTGGACGTTGATGCGCGACCGGTTGGCGCTTCAGCTTTGCGTCGGAGTCGCCAGCCTGGCCAAGGTCAGGAACCGGACCCACCATCATCATCATCACGGACCCTCGGCCCTGGTGCTGTGTCTGTTCACCCTGTACAGGGTGTCTATTTTACCGTGTGTCGTGCTGCGCTAGCACACGCGCGTGTCGCGACGGCCACCACTTGTATTAAAATTATTGAAATTAATTGCATAACTCCGAGACTACAAAGAATGAAAAGCGACGAGAAAAAAAGGAGTGTTACGGTCGCTCCTGGCAAAGGGCGAAGAAACAATTGGTTGGAGGCGTTGGAGGAGGCTAAAGAGAGAGGAGAAGGACGCCAAAGAGAAGACCAAGGAGGCGCGTGGAGATTGAAACACAAAAACATCAGTAAAGATGAGTCAATTGGACGACTTGGACGACCTCATTGCCAGCCTCGACACTGGTACCTCCCCCCTCCCTCTCAAGATGTTCGATTCGCGCATGGGGCGTTTGATTTGATTTCATTATTTTTGGGAAAGCATCTTGCACTCAAGCTGAAGCTGGCATAGCAGCTGTGGAACTGCTGTGCACTAGGCAATTTGGTAAGGGAGACTCCTCATCTTTGTCTCTTCTCTTTGCCGCTTGCAGCCCAGAACCCAGTTCCTCCAGCGGGTTCGGGTGGTCGTCGGGACTCGTTCGACGTCCTGCTCGAGAGCCTCTCCGGTTCTTCTTCGCCCGCCCTGAGCAAACGCGCCTCCCGTACGCTTTCGCCTTCTCTTCGCTCTCTCCTTCCCCACTGCCTTCGTTTTCATTTTATTTTAACTCCTATGCGTCTTGCAACAAACGATCACCAGGTCCAGTGTCGAGGCGTCTGTCGCGAAAGCCGTCTGGTGCTAACGTCCTGCCCGCGGCCGGCGGCGCGCCGATGCCTGCGGGCGCCACAGCATCGTTCGAGGCCCTACTCGACAGTCTCAACGAGCCGCCCTCGTCCCCCGCGCCAGCGCCGCCCGGCAGTGGCAGCGGCAGCCCCTCCTCGCGCCTATCCCGCGCGCCCATGTCGCCCCACTCCGAGCCGCCGGCACCACACGCTGCCAAGGCGGACGACGACCTGCTCGACCACTTGCTCGAGTCGCTCGACATCGGGTCCGCTCCGCCTGCTGCTGCGCCCGCGCGCGCGTCGACCGCGTACCAGCAGCCCGCAGGCAATCCTCGGGCGTCGCTCTCGCAGCCCGGGCGTGCCACGTCAGCACAGCCCACCAACCCGCGCGCGTCGGTGCGTCAGGAGGCCGCCACCGCCTTCGCGGGCGTCGAAGATTCGCTGGACAGCCTGCTGGCCGCCCTCGACGGCTCGTCGTCGGGCAACTCATCGCCCGCGGTGGCTCCACGCACCACTGCCTCGCCCTCGAACTACAGTGCTCCGCAGGCGTCGGCGGGTGGGGAGGAGGCCGACTTCGACAGCCTGCTGGCGCAGCTCTCCGGCGAGCAGCCCGCGCCCGCGCGAAACGTTCCCGCCGCGTCGTCGAGGCGACAGCCGCAGCCCGACATGGCCACGCTCCGTCCCTCGTTCGCCGAGACGTACGTGCCCACATTTCTCGATGGCGGTGAGTGTGTCAAGTCTTATTGATCTGTGTCACACACACACACACACACACACACACACACACACAACGAAATCAGTGTGCGTCAGTCTTTGCCGCAGCCGATGCACGCCACTTTCGAGGAGCTCAGTGCCGCCGCCGAGTGGGAGGCTGAACCTGTCAGGCAGTCGCTGCCGCAGCCCTCCCGGGCGTCGGTGGTCTACGCCGACGAGAGGCGGGACTCGGGCAGCCACCTCCAGCCGCAGTACGCCACGGTCGAGTCGATCGACCCGGCCCAGCCCCACGGCTACGGCCCGCGCCCGGTCTCCCAGCAGATGCAGCAGCCGCAGCCGAGGGCCAGTGTCGGATACGGCTCCGGCGGCGTGCCGAGCCCGACGCCCTCGCCGTACGGGTCAGCCGGCTCCGGTGGTTCGTCCCCCGGGCAGGGCTACGCGTCGCCCCAGCAGGCGCGCTACTCCCAGCAGCCGCAGCAGCAGCAACAGCCCTACCAGCAGCCGGCCTACCAGCCTCCGCAGCAGCAACAGGCGGCCTACCAGCAGCCCGCCTACCAGCAGCCCCAGCAGCGCCAGAGCTACCAGCAGCCGCAGCAGGGCTACCCCTATCAGCAGCAACAACCCCAGCAGCACCAGCCGTACCAGCAGCCGCAGCAGGGCTACCCCTATCAGCAGCAGCAACAGCAGCACTATCAGCCGCCGCAGCAGGCCTACCAGCAGGCCATGGCGCCATCGGCCTACTCCACGGCCGGACCCAGGGCCTCCACGCCGATCGCGCGCCCGCCCGCCGAGTTCGACGGAGCCGGTACGCCAGACGGCGGGCTCCCACACCTTGGTCGGGTTTTAACTCCGAGCTGACGCTGGTGGCCTTTGGGGTCGGTTGCGTGTGTGCAGCCTTTGAGGAGGAGTTCAAGCGCGAGATCAATCTGCTACGCAGGGACCCCCAGGCCTACGCCCGCCTGATCGAGACCGAGCGCAGGCCCTACTACCAGGACAAGATCTACGCCGCGCCCGGTATTTCCCAGGCGCCTGTGTGTGTGTTGTGTGTGTTGTTTGTGTTGTGTGTGTTGTGTGTTGTGTGTTGTGTGTTGTGTGTGTGTGTGTGTGTGTGTGTGTGTGTGTGTGTGTGTGTGTGTGTGTGTGTGTGTGTGTGAAATGGCCAACGTGCTTCTTCGGTCTGGCAGGTGTGCAGAGGCTTCTGACGAGGGAAGGCCTTCCGGCGTGCGATGAAGCCATCCACTTCCTCATGTCGGTACGTTCTCCCACCCTCTTCCCTGTGCCCCGATCTGTCAATCGTTGGAACGAACAATGCAAACGCTCACCCGTCGTTCGCGTCATGTGTTTTGTTTGTACATGATTCCAGTGCCAGCCTGTGCACGAAGTGGAGTTTGACTCCGGCCTGTGTCTCGCGGCCAAGCGTACTCCCCCTTCCCCCCTCTGCTCGCACGGCCGTGCTATGTGAGTGCGTAGGTGGTTAGGCCTAACTGATTGGCGTCGTATCTACAGAGGCGGTGACGGAAGGCGCGCCCACCGGCAGCACCAACATCTCGTCGCTCAACCACATCCAGGCCTACGGAGTGCTCACCGGTGAGATCTCTGAGCTCTCCAAGTTTGGCGCCCTGACCGGCAGAGAGATGCTCATGACCTGGCTCATCAGCGACGGCGACGCCTCTCGCCTTCACCGGTATTCCGTCTCTCCTGCGTGTGCGGTCGTGTGTGCGGTGTGCGTGTGTGCGGTGTGCGTGTGTGCGGTCTGGTAGATCAGATCACTGATTGTGGTGTATAGGAGCGTGGTGACCGACCCGAAGTGGAGCAAGATGGGTATCGCGGCGGCCAAGCACAACTCGGTGTACAAGACCATCGGCCTCGCCACCTTCTGCACGGGCTTCGAGAACAACACCGCGGTAATGGACAAGATGGGCTCCTTCAACTACCTCTGGTCCTAGACGCCATCACACACACCCAGCCCCCCGCGGACAAGGCCCTCCTCCATCTTCGCACCCCCCCCCACTTCACTTTCACCAATCTCTTCGTAATCTCTCTCTCTCTCTCTCGCATGTATGAGTAGGTGTGAGGAACAACACCCCAATCCTCAGCCACCACCAAAATAAACAACAACTTTACAGCAGGTGATGGTGAGTGGCCAGTGTGCTGTATACAGTCAGACCACGGGTAGCGTGCCGCCCCCGAGGTACCGAGTCTCCTTAGTCCCTGGGCTTCTCGGCAGCTTGGGCGCGTCCTAACGACTGTCGTCAACGCGTGCAGGCCTCTCTGCTCCAGCGGCAGATGAGCCCATGATTCCGATTGGCGGAAGGAACGGACAATTTTCAAGCTTTGGCCAAACGCAGCCTTTCCACTTTCCTGTCCCGAACTGGCGCCATGAGCTCATCTCCTCTCCTGGCTCCGCTTAGGAGGAGTGGGAGTTGAGCTTCCCTATAAGTACCAGCAAGGGTACCGCCCTTCTGACCCTCAATCGTCTCTTTTCGCTCTCTTTCGTGCACGAGCACACTTGTGACGCACATCACCCCTCACTCAGCGGCCTCTCTTCTACTTCCGCCCCTTTTACCGATCCTTTACGTACATACATTCAACTCTACCCCCTCTACTATCTCTCGTTATCATGGAAGCGGACGGTGCGGAGACTCCTCGATTGAGCGACGCCGAGAGCGAGCTCGAAGATGTTGTCGATGAAGAAGATGAAGTGTTGTCCGGGCATGAAGAAAACGGTCTTGAGTCCGCCGACTCCGTACGTGGCCTCCTTGACCTAGCCAACAACTTCCTTGTTCGCTCGCTCAAAACGCCAATTTTTTGCCTCCGCAGGCCGTACCGGAGCCAAGGCTGCAGCTGAAGGACAAGGGCACGGTGCTGTTCAGCGACTACATCAAGCAGACGCGCAAGCTCATCAACCCCAACTTCCAGCCCATCTTCGCCGCCGTGAGCCACCTCACGCTCAGCGTGCACGCGCCGCCGCCCACCAACCACCACCGCGACGTGTGGGCCCTGTTCGCCAACCAGATCAACCGACTGGTGCCGGCCAAGCGGCCGCAGCCGGTGGCCATTCTCAACGACCTCAGCTTCTACGCCCGCCCCGGCGAGATGACCCTGGTGCTCGGCGCGCCCGGGTGCGGGAAGAGCTCGCTGCTGAAGCTGCTGGCCAACCGACTGCGGGCGGGCAAGGTGCACGGGAGCCTGACCTTCAACGGCAAGGTGCCCAAGCGCAAGCACTACCACCGCGACGTGGCCTTCATCCAGCAGGAGGACGTGCACCTGGCCACGCTCACCGTCAAGGAGACGCTGCGCTTCAGCGCCGACTGCCAGATGCCGGCGGGCGTGGCGGCCAAGGTCAAGGCCGAGCGCGTGGAGGCCATCCTCCAGCTGCTGGGCCTCACGCATCGGGCCGACACGATCGTGGGCGACGCGCTGCTGCGCGGCGTGTCGGGTGGGGAGAAGAAGCGCGTGACGGTGGGCATCGAGTGGACCAAGTCGCCCGGCGTGTGGCTGTTCGACGAGCCCACGACGGGCCTGGACTCGTCGGCGTCGTTCGACGTCATGCGCGCGCTGCGCACCATCGTCAACATGGGCGGCACGGGCCTCGTGTCGCTGCTGCAGCCCAGCTACGAGACCTTCCACCTGTTCGACAAGGTGATGATCCTCACGCGCGGCGAGATCGCCTTCCTGGGCAAGCGCACCGACGCACTGCCCTACTTCGAGCGGCTGGGCTACAAGTGTCGCTCCACGCTCAATCCCGCCGAGTTCCTCCGTACCCACCCTCTCCCCCCTTTTTCCCCTTGCTTGAATGGGGACGCCTCACCACCTTGGGACCACCGTGATGCAGAGGAGGTGGTCGAGTCGACCAGCAGTCCCAACCCGAGCAAGTACCGAGCGGTGGACGAGGCACAAGCCCACGGGGGCGGCGACGAGGACAACGCGGCGGCGGTGGCTGACGAAGATTTCGATTGGCTGGAGCCGACGGACTTTGTGGCGGCGTACAAGGCGTCGGAGCACTACGCACACGTCATCGACACCATCAACGACACCAACAAGAACCTCAACGCCGAACACGGTGACGACCACAAGGTTCGGCTCGGCTTGCCTCTTGGGTTGAGTCACTATTGTACTCACATCGGAGGTAAAACTGTACTCAGGGCGATCATCCGGCCAAGATCGAGCTGGTGGACTACGCCCGCGATGCCAAATACCCCACCTCCATTGCCACGTACGCCTCACATCTTCAGCTCTCATGGTTGAGATTCCTTGCTGCATCTTACTGTGACGCTCACCGCAGGCAATACTGGCTGCTGACCAAGCGCGCATTCACCCGCGAGTGGCGCGACAAGACCACCAACCTGTCGCGCGTGCTGGCGGCCTGCGCGTTGGCGTGCATCCTGGGCACGCTGTTCCTGCGGCTGGGCTACCACCAGTCGGACATCAACTCGCGCGTGGGCCTCACCTTTGCCGTGCTGGCCTACTGGGCCTTCGGCTCGCTCACGGCGCTGCCGCTCACCATCTTCGAGCGGCCGGTGTTTTACATGCAGCGCGACCAGAAGTACTATCGCACGTCGCCCTATCTCTTCTCCACCATCGTCGCCGAGGTACTCGCTTGCCCGTTCGCTTTCTCTCTCTTTCTTTTGCTCTCTCGTTATTATGGTTGCCGAATGCTGACGTGTTGGTGGGTGAAGATTCCGACGATGATGGTCGAAGTGGGCGCCTTCTCGAGCATCATCTACTGGCTGACGAACCTCAATGAAGGCGACAACGGCGAGCGCTTCGGCTACTTCGTTTACATCAGCTTCCTGTTCTACTGGGTACGCGTAGTCATTGGACCTCGACGAGGTTGGGCTTTTCGTCCAGGCTTACACCAGCGCTCGCTATGTGCAGACGATGCGTTCATTCACGCGCATGGTGTCGGTGTGGTCGCCCTCGCTGCTCTACGCCCAAAGCTTCGCACCCACGTTTGTCGCCATGCTCCTCATGTTTGGCGGCTATCTTGTCCCGCGCGTGCGTCCCCCCCCTTAGGTCTTGCAGCTCCATAACTGAAGTCTTACATGAGTATCAATGAATGGCGACCAACACACAGATCCACATCTACGGTTGGTGGATCTGGATGTACTGGGCCAATCCGGTGTCGTACGCCTTCCAGGGCCTGGCCTCCAACGAGTTCTGGGGCCGCGAGTACTCCTGCGAGGACTCCGAGCTCGTGCCGCCCACGTCGGAGGCGAACTTCAACCTGCCCTACCCGCAGGGCTTCGACGGTGAGCCTCCCAGCCGTCGCTTTCGTTCTTTCGTTCTTTCTTTCTGTTGATGCCCGTCTGCTGACATCGGGCGCATAACAGGCAACCAGGCGTGCCCGGTGACGAGCGGGACGGACTACATCGTGAACAGCTACGGCATCTTCGACCGCGAGTGGCTCAAGTGGATCATGGCCGTGTGCGTGATCGGGTGGTGGGTGATCTTCACGCTGGCGACCTACGCGGGCATGCGGTTCGTGCGGCACTCGCCGCCGAAGAAGCCGCGCATGAAGAGTGTCGAGGTGAGCGAGGAGCAGGAGCGCGAGATGAAGCAGTTCAACATCAAGGCCGTCAAGGCCCACCACCTCAACCACACCCACAAGCACGCCCATGGCCACGCCCACAGCGACGACGAGTCCAAGAAGGCCGGCGAGCTGAAGAAGATGGACAGCTTTGCTGGTACGCCACGCACTCACTCCACCACGCCACCACTTCATCATTGCGCTCAAGTGCCTTCATCTTCGGAGCTAAAACGTTGAGGGTTGTGTGGGTATCATGACGCAACAGACATCGAAGAGGCGCCAGTCAAGGGCGGAATGGAGACGGAGAAGATGGGCGGAGAGTTCGTGGAAGGAGGAGCGTACCTGTCGTGGCACCACCTGAATTACTCGGTGTTCGCGCGCGACGGGATTGTGAAGAAGAAGGAGCTGCAGCTGCTGCACGACGTGTCGGGCTTCGTCAAGCCCGGCATGATGCTCGCTCTCATGGTACCCCGCCCCCCTTGCTCCCTCCTTCTCCCTTCTTGTCGATTGTGTTAGAAGAGCTCACCATGATGCTGATGTAATATGTAAATGCAGGGGTCGTCGGGCGCGGGCAAGTCGACGCTGATGGACGTGCTGGCGCGGCGCAAGACGGGCGGCAAGATCACGGGCGAGGTGCTGGTCAACGGGCGCAAGACCGACGCCAACCTGTCGCGCATCATCGGATACGTCGAGCAGCAGGACATCCACGCGCCCACGCAGACCATTTACGAGGCCATCGAGCTCTCTGCCCTCGTACACTCCCCCCCCCGACCCCCGACCCCCACCTACAAACCCTCTGTCCCCATCGCCCCCCGCCCCCCGCGGCTCTCCTCGCTGACATTTGGTCCAACGCGCAGTGTCGATTGCCAGCGGCGATTCCAGTGGAGGAGAAGAAGAAGTACGCGCGCAGCCTGCTCAAGATCCTGGGCCTGGAGAGCATCGCCAACCGGGTGATCGGGGTCAACGCCGCCGACGGCATCTCGGCCGACCAGCGCAAGCGCGTCACCATCGGCGTCGAGATGGCCGCCGACCCGGCCATCCTCTTCCTCGACGAGCCCACCTCCGGTCTCGACTCCTTCGGCGCCGAGCGCGTCATGACCGCCGTGAAGATCATCGCGAGCCGCGGGACGTCGGTGGTGTGCACGATCCACCAGCCTTCGGCGACGATCTTTGGCATGTTCACGCACCTGCTGCTGCTCAAGAAGGGCGGCTTCACGACCTACTTCGGCCCGATCGGGAAGAGCGAGGGCGACTACTCGGTGCTGCTGGACTACTTCTCGGCCATGGGCCATGCCATGAAGCCGCACCAGAATCCGGCCGAGTTCATCCTCGAGGTGACCGGCGCCGGCATTCCCAAGACCGACGACGCCAAGCCCCACCCTGCCGCGGGGGCGGCCGATCCCGCAGATCAGGCGCAGAAGGACGTGGAGACGGGCCACAAGGACGAGAACTTCTATGCCGAGGCCTACAAGCACTCTGACTTTTGCGCCGAGACCGAGAAACAGCTCCAAGCCGGCATCTTCCCGGCAGTGGAGAAGGTGGACGACGAGGAGAAGAGCCGGTGGCGCAAGATCAAGGAGCGGCTCACGAACCGCTACGCGAGCACCTACCTCCAGCAGTTCACGCAGACCATGAAGCGCAGCTTCCTGGCCTACTGGCGCAGCCCCGAGGAGTTCCTCCAGAAGGTGACCGTGCCGCTGGTGCTGGGCGTCATCATCGGGACCTACTTCCTGCAGCTCAACGACACGCAGCAAGGCGCCTTCCAGCGCGGCGGTCTGCTCTACTTCTCGCTGCTGGTCTCCAATTTGCTCGGCATTCGTACGCCCCCCCTCCTCCTTTTTCTGTTCGCGTCGTTTCTTCTTCATTCTTCGTTCTTTTTTTGACTCACCGACGGGGTGCCTGTGCAGAGCTGAAGGCCAAGGTGATCCTGGAGCGTCCGTTCATGTATCGTGAGCGGGCATCGCGGACCTACACCTCGCTGGTCTATCTGGCCTGTCTTGTGCTGGTCGAGATCCCCTTCGTGCTCTTCAACACTGTGGCCTTTGTGTACGCTCTCCACTCCACTCGCTGGCACTGTTGGTGGAGACTTGGCCTCACATCTTCATCTTTTTGAACGCGGGCGCAGCATTCCGGTGTACTTCATCGCGGGGCTGCAGTACGACGCCGGTCGCTTCTGGATCTTCTTCGCCATCTACCTCCTCGCCAACCTCCTCTCGATCTCGATCGTGCACACCATCTGCCTGGCGTCGCCCAACATCACGCTGGCCAACGCGCTGTCGGCGCTGGTGTTCACGCTGTTCTCCAACTTTGCGGGCTTCCTCATCACGCGCGACAACATTCCCGGCTGGTGGATCTGGGCCCACTACATGGACCTCGACATGTATTCCATCGAGGCCCTTCTCATCAACGACGTCGTACGTCTACTCCTCTCTATGAGCGTCGGCTACTTCGTGTTGCTTTGATCGCCATGATGATGACTCACCTGTTTGTTCGTCGTATTGCAGAAGGGGATGACGCTCAAGTGCTCGGTGCACGAACTGGTGCGGGTGCCGATCGCATCGGTGCCGGGCGCGTTCAAGGAGTTCTGTCCGATCACGACGGGCGAGGCCTTCCTCGAGAGCCTGGGCATGTCGGCCGACAACCTGCTGCGCGACTCGCTGGTCATGCTGGGCTGGTGGATCGCGCTCATCGTCGCGTGCGCCCTGCTGCTCAAGTTCGTCGTCCACCAGAAGCGTTAGAGATAGTCCTACACCCCCCCTGCATGTACGATGTAAATAACAGCCGCCAACGGCAAAGTTTGTGAAGTTTGTTTGTATTTGGCGATCAATTCAAACCAGACGAAGGCCTCCCCACAGAACCGATACGATTACGTGTGAGTCCTTCGCGTAAGGCCCTGCTCACTGGTTGCTGCTTGACTTGTTGGCGGTCATGCCCGTGAAGCCCGGGTCGAGCACGCTGGGCTCAAGCGGCGTCTCCTTGCCGACCATCTTGGTCTGTGTCGTGTAAGTGTGTGTGTGTGTGTGTGTGTTTGAGTGGGTGGGTGGATGCGTGGTGTGTGTGTGCGTGCGGGCATTGCGCCGAAGTCAGGCGGGCAAGCACACAAGAACAAGTAGGGCAAACCTTGTGATGCAACACGCTTTCACCGAGGTGTTTCACATCGCCGCCCAGCTTGGTATCGGGGAGGTCCGCAGCCCCACTGGCGGTGGTGGACATGACCTGCATTGTTGTGTGCGAAAGTAGCCTCAGCAGACTGCGCAGCAGGTGACTTGACCGAGGGTGAGGCCTCGATAGGATCATCGTACGTTGAACCGAGGCTCGGCGGTGGTGGTGTGCAGGCGGGTCTCAACTCCCTCCCTCACGTCGCCCCGCACGACTTCATCTCGCTCGCCCGAGAGCTTGCGGCTCATGCGCTCGGTGTCCTCAATGAGGGAGTTGTCGCCCTCGAAGCTGGTGTGGAGGCAGACGTTCTCCTTCTTTCCGCGCTGGATGCCCGGCTCCTGGCCCTCCAAGATAGGGTCGCCCTTCTGTTGCTTCTGCTCCTGAGACATTTCTAAAAAAAAAGGGGGCCACAACCATCAATCAGCACAAATGGAAGAACAACTTTCACACGGTTAGGGGAAAGGAGGGAGTGCCTGGTTCGGGGTTGATGTTGTTGCTTTTGTTTGAAAGTGTAGTTTGTGATGTGGCAAGCTTGGTAAGAGCCCACTTTATTGTTGCGCTCTCGCGGTCGTGCTGTCGCCAGATCGCACGCCACCGAACATCGAGCCGAACGTGAGCAGTAAGCCAGAGGAATTCCCAACCGCGCCCTGTGCAAAAACCAGCTGGAAAAAGCAAATGAAAACAAAAGGAGAGGGGTGTTACGTCAGCAAATCTCTTGGCGCGAAAAGTGGGTAGGCACTGGGTACGAACTCAGATCTCGAGATGAGGTGGTGATAGGGGGTGGGTCATGATGTGGACATGGCTCACGTTGGGCACGCTCCTCAGCACGGGAGGGTTGGTGAAGTAGACGCAGTCGATGGCCCGCGAGTCGACATGATCCCGAATTATCGATTCAATCTTCGGCTCTGGGAACGGCCGCAGGGACCATAGCAGGTAATGATCGATTTCATCGCCGAGCGCGTAGGGGAAATCGTTCAGCACCCACACGTATCGATCGTTCTCAACATCGGCAGGGGGAGGGATGACGAATTTTTTCCCTTGGTGCAGGTTGGCCTGAATGTCAAAGGGATACTTGAACTTGTGGTGCAGCACGTAGTCTCCCACACTCGCGAACTCTTCTCTCATCTCCTTCATTCTTCTGTGGTACAGTGCCTGTTCTTCTGGCAGCCTGCCGAATCTGTCGAATGCCCGCTCACGCACGATGTCCACGACCTGCGACCAGGACAAGCGGCGGCACAGCGTGCCATTTGCTTGCCCCGATGCGCGAAGCGTGGCGTACCCACGCCTCATCATGATGAGTGCAGAATCTCCAAAGCACTCCAACCAGGACCAGCAACGGCCAATCCAGCGTTGAACAGCCCCGAGAGGAATCAGAGGAAGGTAAGAAGTCCTCGGTAGCTTAGTTGGTAGAGCGCACGGCTGTTAACCGTGAGGTCGCAGGTTCGAACCCTGCCCGGGGAGCTTTCCTTTTGGCCATTTTCCTTCCTCGCCTGTCGGACTTTTATGCCCGAAATGATCCGCCGATAGGTGAATTTGCTGGTCTTCCTTTCGTCAGCGCGTGCCGCACTTTACGCTGCCGCCTCTCATCTTCGCTCGTGCATCCTTGTCTGCGATCGGCAGGCCCTCGCCTTTCCCTTTGATCCGCCGAGAGAGATGGAAAGGCAGCAGATTCCTGGCGTACGCACCCTTTATTCGCGCACCTGCACTTCAAGGCGCCCACGCAAATAGGGCGCAGAGTGCTCACCTCTGATCTTCTCCTGTCAGGATCCTCTTACGGGGGGCGAATCAGAAGAGGAAGAAGAGGTGGTGGACATGGCTACAAAGTCAGGCGAACCAGCCACTGCCATGTCGCGGCTATCTAGCACCGAAAGCGACCCTGACGACCCCAGCGTGGCTCTCTTGTCTGCCCACGGTACCCCGCCTGCTGGTCATTTATTGATGCAGAAAAATATTATCAATAAATCAGTAAATGATCAATTGCACCTAATCTTTGTGGTTGTGCACGGACAGAGAAAGATGGAAACAGGGGCACGCTGCCACGAGAGAGAAAGAAAAAGGAGGAAGGACCCCAGCGAGTGACGTTCTCGATCCGGGACACGCACAAGGAAGAGGAGGAAAACGACGTTCCGCTCCACAAGCTGCTGTGGGAGGACGCAAAGCGATTCTCCTTCACAGACTTGGTGCGTGCAGCGTATTTCTGCAGCTCTTGGCGTCAATCGAAGCGATGTGGTGCGATCGGCGTGGCTGACGCGCATGGCACATTATGCAACAGTGGCACAACATAATGCAGGGCCTGCTCTTCTGGGCGATGGACTTCTGGGTGTCGCTGCGCTACGTGAGCGTCGATTCGTTCAAGAACAAGAAGAACTTCTGCATCGCCGTGGTGACCATCATCATTGCTGTTGCCGCCATTGTGTACGCACGCCGCGCCGCACGACCCTTGCCTTGATTTGTTCCTCATAAGCGTCTTTCGACTCACATCTCTTTTCTTGTTCTTGCTTGCTAGCGCGCTTACCGCGATCGTGGCCAAGTCGCCGCTGGTATTCGTGAAGCTGGCCGAGAACACCGTGGGCGAATACGACCTGGTACGGTTCTTCTCCCTTGCTCCAGAGCGTAACGAACAATACCGGCCCGGCTAGTTCGCTGACGACCTGGTGTACAGTTGATCACTCCCGACGGCACGCCTATCGGTGTCGAGCCACGCTCCTATGACAAGTAAGGCAACACCGCTTAACACGCTCATGCACACAAGAGCACCCTCATCATCTCCTATTATCGTTTTCTCACCATCACCGCTCGCACGCAGGAACGCTCAGCCCGCGGCGAACACGACTGACGGGTCACCTCTCGGCATGCTGGGAGGGTTCGTTCGTACCTCAAAGTGCATCGTTTGTCGATGTGCTCATGTTTCCTCTTCTCTCTGTGTGTTTGCAGTTTTCTGTTGAATGCAACGCATATCCAACACAACCTAGCGCACACACCCGGCGTGTCTGGTGCGGCGCCACGATGGACGATGTTGGGCCGCATTGGGAATCGGTTCGACAGTACACGTAACTCCACCGCCATCATTCTGGTCATCGACTCCGACAAAGAGAAGGTATACGCGCTAGCACAACCCAACCCTCATCATTTTTCTTCTCATGGCTCGCGAAGCTGAACAACTTCGTGTGCCGGCGGACACTGTCAAAAAACCAGGAAATCGGGCTGGGCAGAAGCTGGCCCTTCCCCGCGCTCGGCGAGCGACAGGCCATCGTCAGTGGCCCGCTACTCAGAAACATCGGTGCCGCCAAAAGCGACTACGTCACGCTCACCATTGACATCGCAGACTTGGCCACGGTACGTACAAAGCCTACTAGGAAGACCACTTGCTCATTCGATGCCCTCTTCCTCCACTCTTTGACCCTTTGAACTCTCCACATACAGGACCTTGGCGGTTTCTCGACCGACCAGCTGGACGCTTCGTTCAAAAAGCTTGTGGCCATGGGCATCCACCGGCTTGCCGAAAACGTGACCGTCGATTTTGACGCTCACGACATTCCCGGCTTCGCCCGCCAGCTAGGTGCGTCCCTCAGCATGTCTCTTCAACGCCAGCTTGTAGTGGCACTTGCACTCACACTAATCCCCCGCACGCACGCACATACCAGAGAAACAGCTGAACTTCACCATTCCGCCGCTGATCGTGCAAATGCTCGTTCAAGCCATCATCAACCAGGTACCCTTGGGTTCTAACGCGTTCCTGCGCCGTGAAGGTTTTGTCTCCAGCTCACGCTTTTGTCACACAGACGCCCGATCACACTGGCATCGTTCGCGTCAATCTTGATGACATCCTCAGCGACGCCGTCATCGACGAGCTGCTCGACCAGCTGGCGAGGATCAGCTCCGGCCAGTACACCGGAAACGTCACCTACACCGACCTCTTCAAGTTCTCGTCAGACTTGGAAGGTGCGCACTTTGACAGCCTCATTGGACCCTTTTCTCTGTCGAGGCTCACCTCCGTCGCCCCCCCCCCAAACCTCATCGACGCAGTTGCCGGGGAGGTGGAGGACTCGTTGGGCAAGTGGCCCTCGGCCCTGGGCACCGTGGTCGTCATGGAGGCCAAATACATCCCCTTCCTCCTCTTCAAGGTAGTGCCACGCGCCTCCGCTTCCCAACCGCGTTGCTTAACGTTGGCATGAAACGAAAAGATCTGACTTGCACTGTATTACGCTGATGATAAGGAGTGGCTGCCGTGGCCCATCCGCGACAACGCGAGGCTGATCCGGTCGCTGATGAGCAACATCCCGGGCTACACCCTCCCGCCCGGCTCGGAGAACTTCAACGTCGATAAGCTCCTCATCAACTTCCCCATGGGGGTGCGTGCACACCCATCGCTTGCTTCCCCTCTCGCCCGCCCGCGACCCAGTAGCTCACAACTCCTACGCGGCGGTGTCCCGGTCCACCACAGTTCTTTGCTCCGATGGTGGTCGTGCAGAAGGAGGACCGCCTCGAGACCTACACGAAGGAGAAGGAGAGCCGCGACCTGGACATGATCGACTGGACCAACCAGGTGTCGCTGGGGCTGGGGCTGGACTTCAAGGGCAGCTTCACCCTCCCGGTCTACATGTTCATGCGCGGCACCGACATCCCCCAGTCCTTCCTGAGCCAGATCCTGATCGGGCTCGTCGTCATCCTGCTGCTGCACTCCATGCTGGTCATCTACTCGCTGCTGCTGTCCAACACGGAGGAGAAGACCTACGAATACGGCATGCTCCGCGCGCTGGGCCTCCGGCACAAGTCGCTCATCCAGCTCCTCACCATCCAGGTCCGTTACCACCTAGAACAGACTGAACTGTGTATCGTGTGTGCGCGTGTAGCTGACGCTTGCGCTGTGCGCCCGTTACTCGCAGGCTGTGTTCTTCTCCGGTCCGGGAATTGCCATCGGCTTGTTGCTGGCGTTCTTCATCAACGTCATCGTGGCCTACTTCATCGCCGACTACACCTCAACGGCGTACGCTCTCACGCACGCACGCACGCACGCACACCCTCTCCCTGCAGCGAACTGACTGTTAGTTATGTCGTTTATCCTCTGGTAAAGGGTGAACGTGCTGATCGGGTGGACGCCGGTGCTGGTCGGGGTGTCGCTGGGCTTGTTCATGCCGATCATCGCCAACATCATCCCGATTCGAGTACGCTAGGCCTGCCTGCCTTTCTTTCTTGCGCTCGAGGCGCAGTAGTGTCGTGTCACTAACACCGATCACTTACTCGTCTCGGTCGCGGCTGCTCGTTCCATCCTTCACAGAGGGCTCTTTCGCGCACGCTGAGGGACGCGCTGGACGTCTACCACCAGAAGTTCAGCGAAACAGTGGTCAAGATCGTGCGCCTGGAGGAGATGGGCGTCTCTGTTGAGCAGGTACCCACCCGCCCACCCGCCTCCCTTATATTCCCTATTGGCAATCATTATTGGTTTACTCATCTGACCATTGTTGTTGGTGCGTGGTGCCGCGACCAGACTGTGTGGTCGGTGATGATGATCGTGTTCGGGTTCATGCTGCTCTACGTGGTGCCGTTCGCCTTCCGCTACCAGTACTGGGGCATCTTCCTCGGTCTCATCAACGCCACGCTGCTGGGCATGGTGATGGGTCTCGCCACCGTCGCCTCCATCCTCCAAGGCAAGATCGAGAAACTCATGCTCCACGCCCTCATGTGGCGCGGCGCCAGTCGGTACCACTGCCCCTCTCTTGTACCACATTTCATGTTTTTATTCATTGATTTATGATATAACGGTGGGTACCGGGACAGGCTCAAAGTGGTGGTGCGCAAGGCGCTCTCGGCGCACAAGGACAGAAACAGAAAGACGGCACTCATGTTCACTACTGCTGTGGCCTTTGTGTACGTAGCAGTAGTAGTAGAAGAAGGAACAGCCGCCTATGAAGTGTCGCTGACTACTGCGTTGTTAACTTTGGGTTGTAAATGTGCGCAACAGAATCTTTGCGGCTGCCATTTTCCAAATCCAGACGGTGTCGGTCGGCGACAACATCCGCCTGCTCAGCGGCAGCGACATCTTCATCCAGGCCTTCGACTGGAAGCAACCCCTCGACGAGGTACTCCTCCCCTCACCCTCACCACTCTTTTCCACAGTCACACTACGCACGTAGTTGCGCTCACAATCGTGCTCTGCGCAGGAATCCATGCGCGACTTCCTCGACACCCACAAGAAGGACGCCAACAGCGGCATCGTCGGCTACACATGTACTCAGCTGCTCCCCCCTTCCCTCTCTTGCCCTCTCTCTGAGCGTCTCTCCATCTTGGCGCTCACTCACTCTTCGTCCGTGTCATGGCTTGGGTTGCGGAAACGCGCAGTCTTTGCGTTCAAAATCACAGAGTTACCGGGGATAACAGGGACACGCATATCGAACATGGCCGGCACTCCCGACGGTTCGGTGGTACGCAGCAGCAGCGCCCGCCAGTGATGATCCCATCTTTCTCCACCCCACCGATCGGTGCGCTTCAACCCCCTTTGGCTCACCTCCCCTATTGCGCAGGCCGTACACGGGGTGGAGGAGAACATGCTGGAGTCGACCTACGACCAGTACCTGATGCTGTCGGCCTACGACACGCACTTCTCGTATGCGAAGACACCGCACGACAAGCTCGACGTCGTGCGCTCGCTCTTCACCGATGCGGGCAAGGGTACTCACTCCCAGCGCTCTTCTTCTTCTTCGGCGTCGGAGAACATTGTAACCTTTTTTCCCTTCTTTTTCATTTACAGCTGTGACGTCGTGGGACAAGGACCTCAAGATTCCGCCCGTGGTCGGTGCCGGCAAGCTGGTCAACATTACCCAGTATGCCCAGCGGCATCCGTCCTACTTCCCCGATGTGCCAGCATCGGCCTTCCCCTACTACATCGAGAGGAACCTGACCACCACGTACACGCAGTACATCGATACCATCGTGGAAACGGCGCATGTACAACATGCACCGCACGCACCGCACGCGCGCTCGTATGCGTCAGAGGCTAAATATGTCTTTTGTTCCGCGTGAGCAGGAAGGACTCCAAATCCACATCGACCAGCCGATGCAGTTTAACATTCAATTCCGCATCACGCCCGATGCCGTCAACACGCGCCTCAAGTACCTCGCCAAGCCCAGGGTAGGCACCTTTGCACCTTTTCTACCGGCCAAGCTTGCCCCCCCCTCAAGCGGCAGTAGTAGCGCTGGTAGTCCACTCACTCCCGCCCTCTCGCACTCGCTGGCCTTCAGGCTTTCGCGTCCAAGTTCCCGGCTCTCTACTTCACCTGGCTGAAGGTGTTGGCCAAGGCCAAGTTGCCCATCATCATCTCCATCGACTCCTACAACATGCTCGTCAACCAGGTCACCCGGCCCTTCTCTTCTTTGGTTCTATGGCCTCGCGTGCGCGCGCGTGTGTCGACTATGAAGTTGACTCCTACTCCTCCCGCGGAGGACCGCAGGTCTACAAAGCGCGCATGGACGCGATGAAGGCCAACCCGGCGCTGAAGCTGCCGAGCGACTGGGTGACGCCGCCCCCGGAGAGGCCGCACAAGGCCAAGCTCCTGGTGAAGCTGAAGAGCGGGGCCACCCGCGACCAACGGGAGTTCGTCATCAATGGCCTCAAGAACTTCATCAAGCATAACCGCGTGCTCGTCTCCGATACCGCGGAG